TTTTAAATGTTTTACTTGTTGTTTAAGGCACATTTTTTTTTACTGTTATAGAGTATCATACTTAATATTTTGTTTTCTTGTTTCATTGTCTTGTTAAAACTTAAACTTAGGCACATTAAAAGTTTAAAGAGTTTCTTTGAGCATAATGTCAATTCATGAGCTCATTAGCACAAGTGGCTCAGGGCTCCCCTGAAAGTGCACAAGGGAAAAAATTGTATAAAGTGTTCTCAAAAGCACAGCAGAGAAAATATTTGATTGGTTAAAGTAGAACGGTAGCTCTGAAGTCTTTAGTTAGATGTTAATTGGAAGTTTCTCATTGGTTAAGCTACTCAGGTTGACTTTTGGTTTGTTTACCTAAGAGCTCGGAACACTGGAGCTGTCTCAACCTTACAGCTTCCAGTAAACTTTTTAAAAAAGTTTTAAAACTCCTTTTCTGCACTGAATCATCTTCATTTCCTTCAAATTATTCCTTACTTTTTTCTTTGTCTCCTAATCTTTTAATTGCAATCATTTTCTTTTACATTCCAGGCTTTTGTTAAGTATACTGTGATTATTGATTTCAATTTCTTCATTTTATATTACTTTAGTTTTATAGCAAAGGAATGTAGAGTTGGTCAGAATCTCTCTAAATGTAGGCTTGTTTTGAGGCATAAAAAGCTTTGTCTTGTCTGTGTGATGAGAGGTCTATAACTTAGCAGAATGGGAAGGGCTTCTCTCTGGTGCAGTCATCCATAGTTATTTATCCTAGTCTTTTGTGACAACTTAGTTTTCTTTAAACAGATGAAAAAGGCTCAAATTCTTTGCCTGGGATTAACCCCTTTGCATAATTTGACTGTGAAAAGGAAATAATGTCATAAAATAAACTTCCTGTATATGAATTGTCAAACTCACTCCTTTGCACAGCTCTTTTGACCTATTTTAAGCCTTATTCCTATAAAAGGTAGAAAAATTCTCAGGGCCATGAGTTCCATCTGTGTTGTAAGGGTGTCATAAGATTTTAATCTGTAAGAGAAAAACCTGTGTGTGTGTGTGTGTACAAAGATACATATATATGTATATTCCAATTTCCTCAGGTGTTTGTTATTTATTTTATTTACTTTGGCAAAGATTGCTGAAGAACTTTCTGCTGTATTTTGCTATTTACATTTATGTTTGCTGAACACAGAGTAGAGATTTTTCTTATCTATGATGAAGACTTTGGGTTTTCTTTTTGTATTTTCACCTGTTTTTATTTCTCGGTTAATCCAGTACCATCCAATTCACACAAAATTGATGTTATACTGAATGGCTCCATTTTTTACTTTGTGAGATAGTTAAGTATGCATGTACCAACATCAGAGTATTATTAAGAATATTATGTAAATTAATAATGGCATAAGCATGACATAACTCAATATATGTTCTTAGTCTCTTTATCATTGTTATCACAACATTTTCTGTCATTTCCAAGCAAGAGATGAGAAACAGAATCGTTCCAATATTCCTACTTCTTTTTCAATGCTTAGTATTTTTGTTTGTTAGAAATTATAAATTTTAACGTTCCAATTTCTCAAAAATAAAATGAAATGCATATCTGGAAATGATGGTATTCTATTATTAAGCTTGAATGATATACGAGAAACATTTTATTTGATGGATTCTCCATCATTTGTTTAATAGTCCCCTATGGTGAATACTATTTTTAAATATATTTTTTGCTATTATCTAAAATGTATAAGGAATTAATTTATGTCTGGTTCTTTGCAAAATTTTTAAACTCTTTAAAAAGTTAAATCCAAGCATAGTGGCCAAGGTAAAGAGCACACAACACTTATTATAGATTAATATCATAAATAGCTCTCTAAAAATTGTGCCAATTTACATTAGCACTGTTAATGAATGAATTCTAACACTATTAAGCGTATTTTTTTCAGTGTCAACAATTTAGGAGGTGATAAATGGCATCAGTTTTACTTTAGATTTCTCCAATTAGGATGAAAATCTGATATGGCTTTATATGTTTATCAGCTATTTTTGAGAGAAGAGAAGCAACTGTCTCAGCTGTTCTTCATTTTCATCCCAAAGAACTCAGGTTGTCCTCCAGCTCTGGACTTCCTTGTGTCTTCTTTGTATATTCTGCTTCTTTTTTCCTTCATCTTATCTGCTTTGGATTTTCGTGTAATACGATTTCATCTGTTTTCCTTAAAAGTTCAAGTGCATTGATTGTTACTATTTCTTGTTTTATGGCACATTGTAAAAATGTATGTCTTCATTACATTGGCTGTTGAAAGGACTAGATAAGCTAACATAAGCAGAGATCTGAAACATTGCCTGATTCACAGGCACAGGTCAAAGCCTGATACAGTATTTCTTTTCTTTTTCTTTTTCTTTTTTTTTGTATTTTTTCTGTGAACACCTTATACATATATTGATTACCACATTATGTAGAGTTAAAGTTATTTCTATTTGTAATGAGCTGCAATTTATTAAGAAAATTATTGTAATATGTGTTACCTTATGTTTTTCTTCAGATATGAATGTTTATATACTCAAATTGTTATGTTTCTCTTCAGATATGAATGTTTATATACTCAAATTGTACCTTATTTTTTTTAGAGTTTTTACTTATACAGTATTTAAAGGTGTCCCAAATAGGGATTTTTTTCCATAAAAATGAATATATGCATGTAAATAAGTGAAACAAAATAATTAAAATAAAATTTGAGAAATGCTAAGGATAAAATTTTAAAAAGAGAAAAATAATACAAGTAGAACAAACAAAAATCTTGTTTAGCTACAATATAAAATGGTGTGAAAAATAAGGAATTAAAAATGGAAAATAAATATGATAATCAAAATTGAGGAAGGTAGAAAGAAATCAGAGGGCAACAAATGAAAAAATAATATGATAAAATTAAATGTGACTCAAGAAAACAAATGAAAAGAAAAAGCATGTTGCTCCTCTGTAGCCATTAAATTTAAATTTTTTGTTCAATATATCTAGTGTTATTGTTAACAACATACCAGATAGAATATCTGACTTTCATGTTCAGATAATGTACCGGGAACTTTATTGCTCCTTAACAAAATCAGGAACATATTCAGGTTTAGGGTCCAAAATGAGAAAGCCAAAATTCAAATCTTGGCAACCGAGACAATTAAACATTTTAGCTGCTAAATCCACCTAAGTGGAGATGTTTATGTTAGAATTTCTCCAACTCAGAGAATGTTAACACTCAATTCTATCTATATATAGGAAATTTAATAAAAATTGCTTCTCCCCCATAAAAAGTAATGTATGGTAAAGAATAACCTTTATCCTGTAATTTATTGTAATATTTTTAAGAATGAAAAAAATATAAACTGGGACATCATTTGCTATTTTGCATATTAATGTTTCCAGTTGTGTAACCTCAGGCAGGTTGTTTAATGTCCAAGTGCCTCAGGTTTCTCATCCATAACAACTTCATAGAGACACAAAGATATAAACAGATAATGCATATCAAATATGTATTCAATATGCCTACTATTGCATAGCTAACATTGGCTAGTCTTGTAAAATAAAAGAATTTATAAAGTCAATGCAATACCAACCATAATTCCATTAAGTAGTAGGTCTTTTTCTCCTAACTCTCATTCTTTACAGATTTTACTTCCTATGAAGAAGGAAATTTAGACTAATTTTCTTTAAATTTGTATATTAAAATTTTCTCTAGCCAAGAATTCATGATCAGAGTCATAATTAAATTTCCGTGAAGTACAGGGAGATGCTTTCTCAGTTTTTTAAATCCAACTTTCTTGCTTGACAAATTAGTAATAATAGTACAGAGAGAATACTGAGATTCCCCAAGTCTCAAAGCTGTTGCATTAATCCATTCATTCATTCAGCCAGTGTGTATGTACTCAATACTACCAGCTGTGGTAGTATGCTGGGAGAGAGGAACACAACATACTTTCATCTTCCATTTTACTTAAAGTCTAGTAAAAAAGTAGGGCATCCAGGTAAATACAATTACGTCTGTAGGCTCCCATGATAGACTCTGCTTGAGTTGGTCTTAAGGGGTGGGGAGTTGGGGAAAGATAGCATGGGGAGAAATGCCAGATATATGTGAAAGGGAGGAAGACAGCAAATCACACTGCCACGTGTGTATCTATGCAACTATCTTGCAGGTTCTTCACATGTACCCCAAAACATAAAATGAAAAAAAAAAAAAAACAGTTAGAGAAAAGTGACCAAAGCTGCATCTTGTAGGATGTAACAATAAGTCTTATCCCACCTCTTCATAATATACTTTTAAATACTTTTCATGCAGGTATGCTTTATCATTATCCTCCTATCGTTTGAACAATGACTAATAACCCTGAGTATCAGGAAATCGCTTTAATTTTATTAATTTTGTCTGTAATTTTCAGATTAATTTTGTAAGAATCCCTTCAGAAGATTAGTATGGAGAAAATTATTATTTGTTCCTAAGAAATTAAAGCAAAGTTTACAGAGAAAAGTTAAGCAAAAGTTTTCATTCAGAATAGATAAAGCGTTGGACTTTATTTGTTATGTCAAATATGGCATGTTTTAGAAATAGAAAACATATTTTTTTTAACTTGGGAGTATTTATAGATATATACTGCAACTTTCTTCTTGACGATTTTCATTTGGGTACTCATGGAGAAAAGAATATCTGATGTGACAATCTTGTTATATTTGTTCATGCATTTTAATGAGTTTCTGACATGTGCCCTACCAAAAAAAGATACCTTGTAGTAAATGACTATGTAATGAAAGACTGTATTTTGATGTGAAAAAAATTTATTTTTTTGTTGGGTGGTGAATCAGACTCCTTGTCATTCCAACATTAACCATCTTCCCTAAGAGGTGTTCTATTTTTTTTCTATTATAACAAAAAGTATTTATTGTTGTCCAGAAAGGGTTTTTCTTGAGAGAAATGTGAATGAAATGAGCATTATTCTTTAAAAAGCTAAATTAAAAAGTAAAGTATGTTAAGTCTAAATTTTTTAATATACTCATTTAGTTTACATTCTGGTTTTTTTCCAGATATGTAACATGATACCATAACTATCCCTTGTGAGCTCTGACAAGATAGGAAGGCAGCCTTAGCCGTAAGTTTTAATTTGAAAAACATAGTGTTGTAGATTCAAGTAAATTGGATTTCAATTTAATTGTATTTTTTTATAATTTCAGTTGTAGAACTTTGTTTAAATATAGCTCTATTTCCTCTTCTCTTTATCTTTTTTGTCTTTTCTCCTTCCTTACCATCTTCTTTTCTTCAAGGGATCCTCATCTCTAATTATATTCTAACTTTTTCCCAATGTATGCCTGGAGCTCACTTTCCTCCTGTGCCCTAAATGTCTGCATTTAGCTTCCTATCAGACTTCCCCAAACGAATGTGACTCATAAATTTCAAACAGAGTATGTATAATATTAACTATATATTTTTTCTTTCCAAACTTCATCTCTTACTGTAGTTCTGTAATTCATGTGGTCAATCCTAACAACACTGTGGTACTTTTTCCCTCTCATTTATATGAACCATTTATTACTTTCCTTCCTCCAACTTGTTTCTCAACACTTATATCTTAAATCTCAAACTTACTGCTCTAATGAAGATCTATATTAGCATCTCTCTTCATAAATAGGTAATGATATTCTAATATGTCTTTTAACCATTTATTTTTCTTGTTTCTAAAGCTGTCTTTCCAAATTACGTACTTGATCCTCTTATTCTTCTGTGCATATTCTTGTGACTTTCTGTTGTGTACAAAATCAAAAACTATCTCTTCATCATCACATTCAAAAACCTTTGTAATCTGGCCCAATCCGAGCTCAATCAAAGCCTCCCTGCTCTGTACTTTTAAGTATTAATACTAACATGCCGTGAGTGCGACTTGTACTATCACAGACACCACCTTTCTCATGTTCCTTTTTCTCTCTAGAGTCTTGACATCTTCACTTAATGACTTTTCTTTTTTCAATGTGTAGTTACATTGATGAAGCCTCTCAAAAGATACCTAACATCTCCATTCTCCAGACAGAACTAATATGCCTGTAAAGTGGTACTTCAACCAAAGATATTTACGTACGACAGTTACTGCCCTTTGGCTTAAGCAGTTCCAAATAAATTCACTCTCTATACTGTGGCATTTTGAATGCAGGATCATTTTTGTATCCCTGACAGTGTGCACAGGTCATAGTAGTTGCTGTTATCTATCACCTGAAGGAAGAGAGCACAGCTGAAGCAATGCTTGTTCCATTTCTGTTTCTAATCATACGGCTGTGTTCCAATTTCATTTGCTTGGATCTGGTGTTTACAACTATCAAATATGGAGGTTTAGTTAGATTTTAATATTCTTTCAACATATAAAAATAGCTAATGTTTTTATTTTTTTTCTAAATACTTGCTGTTTAGCATATATAGACAAATACTTGATAATACTTGTTTATCATGTACAGGCAAATTTTTAAAATTGGAAGTAAAGAATAGATACATTGGCTTAGGTGAATATTAACACATTTGTTTCACTTGTAAGCATTTGGCTTTGCTTCTTTATTCATAAAACACATTTTAAAGAATAGATGATTTTTGTATTAATAAATAAATTTAAAGGAAATTTACAGCTTGTACTTACAACTGAAATTGAAGACAAAATACTTGGCAATATTTATTACATTCCATATCTTTCATGGAATGCAGATGCCTTTCCAAATATGACTTTATTAATCTTTCAATCTTGCAGTGGAATATTAACAGATTGATCAGATCTATTACAGTCTTTATGCTCCAGAAATTTCTAAGAAATTGAGACAGAAAATTTCATATTTTTTACAATATCAGCTTCTTTCTGCATAGTTATCTAACATGAAGTAACATGAGGAAAAGTTTGTCCTTGGCAATCTATGCAATATATACAATATCCACAAGGAGGTCTATGTGCATATTTTCTTTTTTCTTTTTCACCTTCTCTTTCTCTTACTTTTTTTCTTCGCAAAAATTTGTTTTCGAATGATGTGTAAAATAATTTTAAGTACATGTAGTTGAAGTAACTGTATCTGTTTATATTGATATTTAGTACGAATGTACTGCTTGTCCTCAAATATAATTTTTCATTTATTTTATATTAGTTTAGGCTATAGAGAGTTCCTAGAATTTTACTGGGTAAATTGTAAACATAAATTGCAAAGCATTGAAAATTGTTATTTATATTCCAAAACTTGATTGTGCATTTTATTCAGTCACATATTCAAAGTACATATTTTGTTTTGTTTTTGAGACTAGTATTTGCTTTTTTCTTTTTGTTAGCTTACTCTGTTATAAACGTTAGTTATAGTGATGATATTAAAATATATGCAATGTATTTTAATACTTTTAATGACACAAGTGACTTAAGAGCAATTTTTGGATAGAACTGTCCCAGTTAATTTCATAGTAAATAAAGCAGTTTTAATAAAAAAGTATTTAGGATTTGTGTATGTTTACAATTCTTTGATATTTTGCATATTTGGCAATGATGAGAAATAAATTAGTCTATATTTTGAAGTACACATTTTAAAATTTTAATTAATATAAGTGTCAGGAACCCAGATAATGCTCAGTTTTTATATTTTGGAAAGAAGCAAATACCAATAAATAAGAAAGTGAAAGATGAAAAAGATATTATTAATGGACATTCTTGTAATTATTTTCTTGAAACAAAAGGTCATTCAGAAAAAATTAACATACAGATAAAGAAAACCCTGAAAAATAGCAAAAAGAACTGACACTGTGAGATTACTCATTTCCCTATAGAATTAGAAGAAAGGCTCTATTTTTGCTGGTAAAGAATTTTTTGAAAAAGCAAATAAGACAGGTTTAATTAAACAATTTAGAAAACTAAGTTGATCAATATTCCTATGAATAATCATGATTTTAGAGGCATAAAATATGGAAGAAAGAGGAATTCAAAATTTATTAGTATTCTTTTTTAAGTTTCATATATAGCCGAACCCCAAGGAAATGTGCTAAGACTTTTTATCATGATGCAAATATTCTACATGTTTTTAAACACATTTCCAGTAGAATAGAACACCTCTCCATCAGCAACACAGGCTAAGTCGGGCCCAAGTTGTCTTAAATCTTGAAGATTCTTTACCCACAATCAGAAAAGATACTTAGAAATGCTTGAGACAGTGGTTTTTATCAGGCCAGCTGTATTTTAATTTTTTTATTCTCTCAATTTTTGCTTGAAATATTTCAAAAATTGAGAAAAGAGGAGAAAGACGGTTACAATAACATTAGTGTTTCCTCCATCTAGATTTAAAAGGTATTAACTAATATGTACCTTTATTTTTCATCTCCGTTTTTCTCTACAAATATATACAGATTCATTTAAAAATAATTTGAAGACATCATGAAATTTTTTCAACTCTAAATATCTTGGCCTGTATTTACTACTAATATAATTGTCTTCTAACCATTAGAAAATGATGAGTTCATGTCCTTTGTAGGGACATGGATGAATCTGGAAACCATCATTCTCAGCAAATTGATACAAGAACAGAAAATCAAACACCACATGTTCTCACTCATAGGCGGTGTTGAACAGTGAGAACACATGGACACAGAGAGGTGAGCATCACACACTGGGGTCTATTGGCGGAGGCTAGAGGAGGGACAGTGGGGGTGGGAGGTTAGGGAGCAATAACATGGGGAGAAATGCCAGATATAGGTGATAGGGGATGGAGGCAGCAAACCGCATTGCCATGTATATACCTATGCAACAATCCTGAATGATCTGCACATGTACTCCAGAACCTAAAGTAAATTTTTTTAAAAAAGAAGAATACTATTTCTGCATATTTATAAATTGCTAGTAATTTGCCAATATTGATGATAATTTTCAATTCTATTACATTGTCACCCAAATGACTTTATATTGTCCATACACCAACAAGAATCCACATTGCGTTTGGTTGCTACCAACTTTTAAATCTCGAAACACTTAATTCTTTCAAATAACATTGACTTTTTGAAGAGTACAGATTCATTTTCCTGTAATGTGTAACAGATCCTTGTGTCTGCTAGTTTCTTCATTTTGTCATTTAACTTGTCAGTTTATCCTCTATATTTTCTAAAACTGGAAATTAGGTCTATCTTGATTGTATTCAGATTACACATTAGACATGAAAAAAGTTATAAATGGTGTTGCATCACATCTGGAGGCCCAGGCAGAACTCTTCCATGCTGATGTCAACATCCTTTTATTATAAATATATTAGTCTTAGAGCAGGTATTTGATTCTTAGCACTACAAGATGTCCCAATCTGACCTCTCCCAGACCTAGAATTTTTCATGCAGGAGGAAGGTGAATATGTGTGATCAAGAGGGCATATTTTGATAAATCGGATTCTATTCAGCAAACATTTATTCCTCTCTCTCTCTTCCCACACCCTCTTTCTCTTTTTTCTTGATCAGAGTATACTTCCCTGCCTCTGTTACTTTGGGACTATTCCTGTGATTTGCTTTGATCAGTGGAATGTGAGCAGAGATTATTCAAGCAGAAGCTTTAAATGGAACTACAGAATTAGAATTTGGTTTGTCTATTGTGATTGGTGATTCTCCATGAGATTATGCCTTGGATAGGCTTTAGTTAATGAAAACAGAAGCATCCATGGAGCAGATATAAACTCAATGCACAGCCTGTGCTAAACTGAGAAAATCTGCAGCTTAAAGATGTAACAGCCACTGTCAATGCACATACTGTGAGAAAAAAATGAGATAAATGAATGTTTATTGCTTTAAATTGCTAAGTTTTGCATTCTTGTTAAGCAGCATTGTTGTGATATTAGTTGACTGATGTATAGCTCAAGTTATGGGCATGAGTGATTCTGCTACATATTGCCTATTTCCAACCATTTGGGATACTGTCTTTTTCACTTCTACCAGCAGTATAAGTGTGTTTTTATTTCCATCGAGTCTTGTAAACAGAATGTATTATCCAAATCTTATATTACAGTGAAGCAGATGAAAAACACTATGTAATTTGATGTGTATTTTTCTTATTATAATAAAGGTGAAAATTTTATTTTATTTATTTATTTTTGAAATGGAGTTTCGCTCTTGTTACCCAGGCTGGAGTGCAATGGCGCAATCTCGGCTCACCGCAACCTCTGCCTCCTGGGTTCAGGCAATTCTCCTGCCTCAGCCTCCTAAGTAGCTGGGATTACAGGCACGCACCACCATGCCCAGCTAATTTTTTGTATTTTTAGTAGAGACGGGGTTTCACCATGTTGACCAGGATGGTCTCGATCTCTTGACCTCGTGATCCACCCACCTCGGCCTCCCAAAGTGCTGGGATTACAGGCTTGAGCCACCTCGCCCAGCCCCGAAAATTTCATTTTTATTAATTTCAACATTTTCATGCCTTCCAGAAAATGTAGAAAGTAAAAAAAAAAAAATCTAAAACAAAAAGTTATAACTTACATGAGACAAAGTATGTACTTCCCTAAAATATAAATAAATTTAAAAAAATCAGGAAGTAAAAATGAGTACCTATTAAAAATAAGGATATAAACAGATATTCTCAGAAAAAAAAGTATGTTAAATATCCCTAACACATGAAGAAAAGTAACATATATCTAGACAATTGGTAATAAAACTTCAGATCCTCAAAAACAAAAAAGAAGATCAAAGTGGCTGTAGAAAAGATAGATTCACTACACGGAACTGACAATTATAGACAGGCAGTTGATTTTGCAACAGCAACAAATGAAGTAACAAAGAGGTGATCATACCTATATATTGTGCTGGCAGAAAATAGCTCTCAAGCCAGCAAAATCAATTTTTAAGAGTAAGTGTAAAACAAGTGTCAGACAATACGTACAACAAAACTTCAGAGAGTTACATATGTAGAGACTTACAAATTAAAATTCTAAAAAAGAAGCACTTCAGGAAGAATAGTGACATAAAAATAAATGTGAAGTAAAATATGAGGTGAAATGGGGCAAAAGGCAATGGTTGATAAATCTAAACATTGACTTTTAAGAAAGAATAATAATATCTAATTGAAGTACTGGGAACTAATAACATGAAGATGAACATATTTCAAAAAATTAGTATCATTCAACCAGTGTTTCCAATAAAATATACATGAATTAGAATTCTTGTTAGAGATGATAATATCAACAGTAAAACACAAATGCATGGAAAAAAACTTTAAGAATATAGCTGAATTACCTAGTTTAAAATATTAAAATTATCTTAGAAAATTAAAAAAATTGAAGATAGACAACATGAAAATATGCATGTTTATTTAATTTTTATTTCTTAATAATTTGAAATTATATAAATTTCATAGTTTTAATCCATTTGAAAATAATTTTAAAAGTATTTATTATATTTTATAGATGTTATATAAATATAAACGTATATTTACATATCTGCATATGTGTATAATGTTTAGATTTTTACCTTAATATTTGTAGAAAAATACTTTATTATATTAATTTCTAAAACTTTACTTATATATCTTACTTTTTATTTCCTATGCATTTACCTAGCTATAAGTTAAATTATTTATTGGGACCTAGAAAACATTAAAATTATGAACAGATAGACTTCTAGAAAGTGAGCAGCTCTTTGATATTTTACCTCCTAGTCAATATTTAGAAACTCCTTAGCAAAGTTTAAATAATATTCACTATTGTAGACACTTAACAAAAGAATTTTGCTAATGAATACATTTATTTTCTATAGCCAGGCATTATAATGTTTAAGGGCAAATAAGTAGAATAAAAAAGCCAAATTTCTCATTAATTACATTTCTCCTTAGATTTTGAAATAAATCAAGAATTAACAATTACCCATGTCAAATTTGTTATAAGATTTAATAAATACTCATTTTTTTGAGTAGCAATGAAATTAGCAATGGTTAGCACATTCTCAATACGTTCCAGACATTTTTTAGCTTCATACATATATTGATTTACTCCTAAAAAATCTGTTATCTCTTTTTCACAAGTGAGAAAAAGTTGCTTCATGAATGAAAGTCTGGGAACACATAGAATGAGGTAGAGTTGGAAGTAAAGCAGATAATTTAACAACATAGCCTGCATTCCTTATTGTACTATACTAAAGAGAAGTCAGAAAATGCATTTTCCTACCTTGTAACCAATTGGAGAAGCCCAGAATAGAGAAAATGAGCAGAACCAACACACAGAATATAGAATTGAATAAAAGCGAGAGTTAAGCTGTTTTTAAAATCTTAAGGACAAATAACTAAGATTAAAAAAATGTTGAACTTCTCATTATCTGCATTTCTAATGACCTAATCCAGGGATTTACTGTAGAATAGAATCGTAGAACAATTTACAGAAGAAAATCTTTGCAGTGTAAAGCACTAAAACACACACACACACACACACACACACACACAGTATTTTCCTTAGAAGAGAGATGTGCTAACCTGTTTCTGAGGAATGAAGAGCAGTTAAAGGAAGCCTTATTGAATACTAGAATTTTCTTAAAAAATAGGTATGAGTGAGTGACACTGATAGAAAGAGAAGAAACAAAGCTTACATCCAATGACAATGCACAATTAACAAGACATCAGTAACACTGAGTGGTATGCAAACACATTCATTGAAACCCAAGAGAAGGTTAGAGCAGAAGGTTGATTTGTGTAAAAGTATGTTGGAGTGAATAGAGCCATTTGGTATCATTATAAAACTATATTTTTCAAAGTGCCAAAACCCAAAGCAGGCAAGAGACAGAAGCAAGTTGATTTACCACTGTCTAGGGACTAGCAAGATTGGTGCAGATAAGGAAATACATAAAGCATTAAATAATTTAAAGTCTACAGCCAAAGAAACCTTAGTGAGGAACTTGAGATAGGGCCAGATACTGTAAAATAGTTTCTTCTCTCATTTACTGTCAGTAAGCATTTAATGATAAAAGGTCTTCAAATTATCATTTTTTAAAAATGTAAGTTAAAGAAAAATGTGGGTAATTAAAAATGAAACATACTAATGAAGAACAAACACAATTGGAATGTTTTGGGCTTTTGTAAAATCTGAATTATATCTGTTTCTTGTTTTTGTCTTATCCAATTAATATATTGAGGAGAGCAGGATTTGGTTTGCTTCTGGAAAAAGTGTTGCCTAATGGGATATAGAAAAAAGTACACAGACCGTTTGGAGCACGAAGATATAGCTGGCAGCATCAAGCTGCCTTATCTAATTAAGTTTCTTCTACCTTCCTTCTACCACTGAAGACAGAGGCTCAAGTGTTATGTTGGAAGAGGTTGGTCTTTGTGAAAGGCTACTAAAAACTCTTTTGTTTAGGAAAGGTATTTTTGCTGATTCAACTTTTTGACATGCTTTGCATTCCATAATTAAGAAGGAAAACGTGGTCTTTAAAATATTCCGATAATCTGTACACAAACTCTGTCTTAATTATTCTTACACCCAATTTTTTTTATCAGGACTGTTGTACAAGTGCAGGCAATGGGTATTGGAAAACACTAACAAAGAAAATTAAGAGAGAAAATATTTCAGCATAGTGAGAGCAGTATTGAATTTTAAGCATCTTGCCTAGGCTAAGTAGAGAAGCAAGTGAATTTTCACAAAGACTAATAGAAGGAACAAGTGGCGATGGTGCCAAGACAAATGAAGCCACAATGAATGGAAAATAATACATTTCAGTTTTTGAGGAACATAAAACTTAGAAGACAGGGGAATATGGCTAAGGTTAAGTGTTTAACATGAGACAATGGCATCAGATTACATTAAAGTTGAAATGCTCTTAAGGGGCTACCTAGTCCATTTACCAGTGTGTTAGAAAATTGTCTCTAAACAAATGACCATCTAAACTTTTATTAAAACCTCCAAGGGTGAAAACAACTGCTGGCAATGCTTATTCCACAGATTTCCAACCCCAATTGTTAAGGACCTAGTTCATCTTTATACTATCTATATTTGTTTTTCTATAACTGGCATTAATTGGATCTAATTTTATTTTCTGGATCAACCTAAAATATATTATTCTTTTCATCATAGTGTAAAGATTTAAGTATTTTTAGAGGTCATTTGCTTCCTTCAAGTCTTCTTTTTTCATGAGTTTTCTCATTTCTTCAGCTATTTTTCAGTTACATCACTACAAACAACTTCACTTAATTTATTCTTTTCTGTATTTTCTATATTTGCCATCAATTTCTGTAAGCCAAAACACTTAAAATGTGATCTGGGAATTACAAAGCAGAGTGACAATTATTTATCCTCTTACATACCCTTCTACCTTTAAGGTCTAAGTTCTATTTTTGTCATTTCTATAATAGCTTTGACTTGAATATGCAGTGAATTAAATTCCCTAAGTTATATTTCCGTGTATCAGTCTTTGCCATCTTGCACTTACATTCATATCCCTTAAAATTTCATGGTATTTCCATTTTTTTTATTAGTCCTTTCTGTTTTGCTATCCTTCCCAACTTCATGTCATTTAAAAATTAGTTAAGTGTGAATCAGTATTATCTTTGAGGGAAATAGATAAAAGGTATTGAAGTTACTTGACTCCAGGACATGGTAAAGATAAAAATCAGCAGAATGTAGATGCTGACACATGCAAAAAGACGAAGAATGGGGTGAGAGAATAGTGACAGAAGAATTGTGTTGTATCACAATTCTGACATGAAACATGTCTCTGTACTGGATATAGTTAAGTTTTTAGGGAGGGTACTAGAATTAAGATACTGCAACATGATTCAACATATGGGCATTTTGGTATTAATGGATGCCAGAGGGAGAGAAGTGAAAAGAGGGAGGGAGAAAGTGCTATAAATATTTTCATTTTCATTTAGGCTTGCTTCTGGATGGTGGTTTTTCTTTTCAAAGCTAAAGTTTGTTGTTTGTTTTATTTTTTCATATGGAGAATAATATATTTGAATGAAGATAATGCCTGAACTACGTGGTATGATGAAACCAAGGTTGACATTAGATAATATAACAGAT